CAGGTATTTATTCAATGAGCTTTAATCGAATAATGAAGGCGTTCAAAGATTTATTTCGAATATTGTTTCTTAATGCTCTATGCGTGCATTATTTTGCATTTTAGGGTTTCCAAAATACGACTGAACGAATAAACATTGAGAAACTTAAAATACCAGAGCCAATATTATTCTATGACGAAATAGTACTTTTTGAGGATGAATTGGCTGACAATGGAACTGCATTGCTTAATGCTAAAGTGGTATGATTAATATACATATTTATTCATTTATCGATCATTTGATACGTGAGAATTATTATTATACTGTTATACTGTTTAGTTCGCTCAAGTTCTTTCTTATTACTGGTTTTTTTTTTTTTTAAAAAAAAAAAAATAACTTTAGAGGGTGATGTCATCAGGGTTTTTCATACTTCAAAGATTCTTCTTAAGGGTTGATGATGTACTATTCAAGATGAATGAAACAAGGATTTACCATGAATTTGGAAGTGGGTATTTGCTAAAGGAATATTCATCACGAGAAGATCATTATCACAAGATTAGAGCGGTGAGTATTCTGGAATTGCATTCATCGTTCTTGATATTATTCCTCATTTTTTTATGTATACATATGTTGTGTAGCAAATACCGATATACAAAGGAGAAGATATATCGCAGCTAACAAATCCAGACTGGGTATCATTAAAGCTGCAAAAGTCAAAGGAGAATGAATTTATATTAGAAAAGTTGAATTTGAATATTGAGTGATCAACAATCGTTGCCGACATTCTACACTTGCTGATTAAAAAACTACTATGCTCGCATCGATTGTATATCCTGTATATAATGAAGGGATTACATTAAGTGACGCCATTAGTCCAGCGATTTGAATAGCCACTACATGCAAGTAAAAATTTAAAGTTTTCGGTAAACCAAATCCATCGATTTACGGAAACACTGAAGGCTTTGTGTAATCACTTGATTTCCTTTTGTTAAATCCGGAGGTATATGTTAGTTACAATACATTTAAGACCTACTTGTTTATCTTCTCGGCGACCGTCGAATCAATAAGGCATTGCGACAATTACTATCTGAGCGTGCACTGCATTTATGCAGAATTAGCCTTATATTTTTATGCTTAATGACATAACACAGTACATCTTTTGTTTAGTTAAATAAATAGTAGGTTTCAATAAGCACTATAGACTAAGGTCAATTATAATATGGTCAATTTGATTGCAAAGCAATCTATACTATATAAATAACATAAACTATCTATAGTGTAGTGACCATTCCTGAGAATAACTCAAGTTCCATCTTATTATCATATAAAGTATTCTATTTTGAATAGTATGATTGCAAAGTTTTAAATATGGATCAAATCACTTTCATTAAAACTATAATATCTTCTAAATCTATATATCAAACAGACAATTTGGTAAACAGTATATCGATATAATTAAATAAGATAAAAAAAATTTTTTTTTTTGAGTAAAATAGAAATAAAAATAAAAATAATAAAAAATAAAATCGAATAATATATTTTTAACAATATAAAATAAATAATAAAAATTTTTATGAAATAATTAAAATAAATAAAATCAAAGAAAAGATTTAAAAAAGTATTGGAGCTATGTAACAATTGTAAATCATAAAAAAAAAAAAACAATTTATATTAATTACAAATCAAAAGTTTTTAAAGTTAAAAATAACAATACAATTAAATTGAAAAAACTTTAAAATAGAATATTTATCAATCAATTTTTATATAATACACATATATTTTAGAATTTTATATAAAAATAAAAATCAATAACCTTTTTTACTAATTCTCTACCCACAAAGAAAAAATATATTTGCAAGAAGTTTTTATACTTTCATGCTAATAAAATCTTATCACTTTCCATAAACTAACTTGAGAATAATATTCTCAAGAATTATTCTATAACTTCTTAATTCTTTTTATATCTTTTTACAAATTAACTTATCTTTTAATGATTATAAAAACAAAATCTAATTTTTTTATCAATATCAAAAAACTTTTAGAAAAAAATAAACCTAATTTGCTATCTACTTTCCACTTATCAAAAAATAATATAAAGTTATATTTATTATGAAAAAAAATTTTTAAAGATAATTTTATTACTCTTATGTCACTATTTGAACTTTAATAATGTTCTTTTATAGCTTCTCTAGGAAATCTTGCCTATTTTAATTTGACTCTAAATTTTAAGTAATACAAAAATTTTTATGCAATGATTTAATAATAAAAACATATTAGTAATTAAGATATAAATAAGCTCTTATTAGTTATTTTACATATCTGAATATATTTTTTCAATATATATAATAACTTGAAATCTATTTTAAATCATTTTTATTTTGATGTAAAAAAATACAAGATATATTTATTTTCTATATCTTTGGATATATAGAAAGAATACAAGTTAAAATAAATACAATAAATAGATAACAATCCTTTATCTTCTTTTTTTTTTTAATAAAATATAATAATTAATATTTTTATTAATTTTTTAAAATCACATCTATTATTTTGTCATAATATATATTTTTAAATAAAATTTAAATATAACTTCATATTTAAAATTTTTATTTAAGTACTAGTGAAATTAAAGTTTAATATAAAAGTTTTTTGATATCAATAATACTAGATATCTCAATTTATTTTTGATATATTACCTTTTTCTTTTATTTTTGAGATAGCAATAAGTCACTTAATAAATTAAAATTTAATAAAAAATAATATAAATTTTATACTTTTTAATATTTTATAATTTATATTAAATGGTTATATAGTTATCTTATTCTAATTGAATAGAATATAAATAATTTACTTTTTATATTATTTAATAATCTATAAATTTTTAAATAATATAAATAATTATTTATCTTAAATATCTTTGACTATTTATTTACCTTAATAAAATAAGTTTACCTAGATATAAGAATAAATTAATATTTAAATATATTATTGAACTATAAAATTTCGCCATATGATCTCCCTAGTACTCATGATGATCCCAGTACCTCAGATCAACATATCACAATCCTTTTGGTCACCTGAAAGTAAAGATCTTTCAGAACACTTCTAGAATATTGATAGTCGATTTTGCTATTAGCAAA